ATGTCATCGCCGATAGTTAGCGCCCAAAAGTGAATATTCGCCTGGGCCGACAGCGAACACCCAAAGCGAATGCGTTCGGATGTTGCACATCAATCAGAAATGTTTGCTAGCCAAAAGCATGAGATGAAATGCTAAAGGGGCGGCCAGGTGTGTGTGTGTTTGTAGAGGAACTGGCCCGAACCGGCATATCCTACAGCAATTTCTCAATCTAAATGCGACGAATGCCAAATGGCCAAAACCGGATCGAAGCACATAAAGTGGGTTAATCGGTTACAGGCTGGAAATGGCATGAAATGAAATGAAACACCAGACCAGATCGGAGAGGCAACAGCAGCAACAGCAACAACAACAGCAACAATAAGAGCAACAACTGCAGCGCTGAAAGTTGAAGCGAGCTGCCTGCGCGGCCTGTCTGGCTGCCTGGCTGGCTGGCCAATTGCAATGAGCACAATTGCCAATCAAAAATACATGAAACGCAAACAAGCAACAACAATGAAAATAACAACAACAACAACAACAGCGTCTCAGCTGGTACGTGAGCGCGACAGGCTTCTGTGAGTAGCTTCGAAGTGAAAAAAACGCTCAGCAGAGACGCTCAAGAGATTGGCCAGTAAGAGATATACTAGCCGACACACACACACACACACACACGCACACGCACACTGGCACACTCACTCACACACCTGTCACTGATATGTCCAAAGCGTCATCAACAATTTTTGTGAGTGTGTGAAATGTTTCTATGCGCTAAAAAACATTTCACAATTTTTCCTTATTTTTCTGCCATTTTTTTTTGGGGCCCGTACAAATCAAAAGACTTAGGACACGAACTTGCGCGCACTAACAACCAAATCAGGCAAATAGCAAAACATGTCAAAACAAGTGTTTGCAATTGTGAGCGTGTCACAAATGGAGACCTTGACTTCAGTTCGCGACATCTATGAACATTATATAGACATATATAGATATATAATGCATAAGTGTCTGGCTTTTTACTGGCCAGTTTGTTCCGGCTGTCAATTGAATTAACATTTAAATTTGCAATAATCGAAGCACAAAATGTCGCTGAAATTAGTTTAACAAATGAACAACGGGCCCATCATGCAAATGTGTTTGCGTTTAGTTAAGGCTTTAAATGTTAATGTGACGTTAACAGCGTGACGTTAACATAACTATAAACAAAAAGCTGTTTAAATTCCACTTGGTGTCAAACTCCAGCGCTAAAAACCCAAACAAATGTAGCTGTTAGGCACAATTGTGTGTTTTAGGGCTTAGCAAATACATCCTTGGCATTTAAGAGACATACTAAATAGTTAATAGATCTTCTGGATGTTAACAGAGAGGGGAATATTGGTATTGTGGCACATGTGTGCAACAGGCAGGGGTAGGCTACTTCGAGTCCATTATGCATATATATTCTAGATCAGCGTCCGTCCGTCTGTCTGATTCTTTGAGAACTATCCTGTCAGTCTTTAAATCAGTCTTAAATCATCGGTGGGCCTTTCTCACTTTCTCGTTCTGAGTTTTCTTAAACTTCTTTTAGATAAGTTTATGCAGCACATTAAAATGCTGCCTAATGAACTATTGAGCTCTTGGAAATTGAGTTTTTATATATGAAATAACATTTGTATTCCTCAAGATAGTTAAAGAGTTGTCAACTGACTTGTGAAGACTTTATTTATATGTTAATATGTAAGCGCCATGCCAATTTATATGTACATATATACTTGTATAGATGACCATAAATATATATGTGTGGCTGACATTAGCAGGCTCAGGCTGTGACTCCATTTAGTTGGCATTTGAAACGCTTCGAAATGGCAGAGCATAAAAGAAGCGGGGCGAGCGCCCATAAATAACTAATGTGCCAAATAATTGCCCTCCAAGAGAGGGCACGCAAAAACTGAGCTAACAATAATTGGTAACATTTATGTGCGCCAACTGTTAAATGGCTAATAAAAATACGCACACGAAAATTGCGTCACATGTAAAATGAGACGTGGACTGCGAAGAGCAGAGGGAAAGTTCAATATTTAATGACAGACTCCGGGCCAAGTCGACTCGAATAACTCGAATGATTTATTGAGTCAAGGCGCATAGCCAAATGACGCCCAACAATGCGGCACAGTGGTACGAAAATCGATACAGGTGGCGCCCGAAAGAAGACGGCCAAAACAAATGCCAGCATATTAATCAAGTCGCCAGCTCGGGCAGGCGTGAAGAAGCGCAGACAATCAAAGCCAACGCACAATGAACAAACATAGATAATCGGCAGCAAATCGACATGAATCGATAAAGCAACAACATCAACAACAACAACAACATGACATTTAAACACTTTCGTATCCGAAACTCTAGACTCTTTAATCTTCAATTGACTAACCGCAATCTGAGCTCTGCCGTCTTCCATCTGCATTCATCTTTGTCTTGTTTGCAGTTGACTTGACCAAGTTTTCCGCAACTGACATTTCGTTTCCTTTTTTCTTTGTTTTTAATTATCGAATACCCTGTATGTTTATTTGTAGCTGTCGGGCGGGCATCATGTGTTGTGTGTGACCTTGTAAACAAGTTAAAAGAAGAAGCCAAATCTGAGCTCATCAATGTGGAAAACCAGGTGCATGGGACTCGAAGGGGCAAAGGCAGTTTGTCCGCATTGTCAACTGACCATTATTTGTTTCTGGCTTTTCAGTTGTGTTTATAGAATTTTAAATGCCATCACAGTTCGATTAACTTTCTTTGTGCACTCAGTCGCTTGATAAGCGACAACATTTCATATACAGAATCTAAATTTCAAAAGAATTTCGGATTAGCTGTGGCTCAGCTATTCAATAGAAACGAATAACATGGGCTACTTAAAGCCCATTAAATATTTTCTATATATGTATATTCTTGATTTATTTCCCGAACCGAATTATCGAATGAACCAGCTGAACTCAGTTACCATAAAAGCTAGGCATAACAAAGTTTTGTATCTATGAATGAATTTCATTGGGGATTCGGATTAGCTCATCAATAGCTCAATAAAGCAAACTAAACTACGTCATTATAATAAAAACTCGATATTATAGAGCTATTCTAGGAGGCATACGCACGATTTTACTATTAGATCCCACGGGGTCTGCGACTACTTAACTGTTTAATACCTACTTAAAGTATTTTCTTTATATAGCCCAACTCATTTCCCCATCGAATGAACCAGCTGAACTCAGTTCCTTTAAGAGCTAGACATTGTAAATTTGGTATCTAAGATCTCGTATACTTATTATATCTAGAATTTATTAGATATACGTATTAGCTCATCGCGCTTTCAAGTTTTGCAGCCAAGTTAATTAAAGATATATATATATATATATATGCTCAGTATTACAGAGCAAGACTTTATAGCAAGACTTTGATAAATAGCCTATTATATTATAAAACTTCACTTTCAATAAAAATTCAATAATATACGCTTAGTATTACATAGCCCGACTTTAGCAATAGATCTTACAGGGTATTCGCTAGTCGAGTGCGCGTCTCTGGAGCATGTTGAAATGTTTTGTCATGTTTCAAGTTAGCTGCAGTTGTGCTGCACTTGCTGAGCTCATTGTTGATTGTTGATTGTTGATTGTCGATTGTTGTTATTTTCATTTGCTGTCATTCAATTTGCAGTTCGTGTCGCCTGCCGACTGCAGTTTCCTGTATGTTTAACAAACGCGCATAACGGGACAATGGACGAAACTAATTAGCGCAGCCAGCGAGCGGAGAGAGAGAGAGAGCGAGAGAGAGAGAGAGAGAGAGGGTGCGCGGCGGGTGGGCGGTTAATTAGACCAAAAGTTGAGCTAAACATGGGCCTGCAGCAGGCTGCCGACGAAAGCTGGCCGTGAGAGTGGGAGGAAATTCCTGACCAAAGTGAGGCAGCGCAGCAAACAATTGGCAACAGATGAGCCCGACTAGCAGATACCCCGCAGCCTCCTCTCCATACTATTTGTGGGAAATGCAGTCTTGGGTATCTTCGGTGCTTATAGTCCGATCATCGTGAAATTTGCAATGCTCAAATATAACATACAAAAGTTTGTGCATGCCAAGTTAGGCGTAACTAGCTCTTATATTCTTCGAGCTATGACTTAAAATCGATATTAATCGATATTATGAGTTATCGAAAATAAATGATGGGGAGTACTTCATCTAAGTATGGTATATGAGCATATATTTTTTTTTAAATGTCAAGTCTGTGCCTTTATAGCTCGCAATTCAATTGCAAATTGCAATAGAACAAACTGTTTATTTATTCTTCACTAGTTAATTGGCTCAAAGTAATCCACATATTAGTTTGGGAAATTTGTTTGTCTTGTATACCCAACTTGAATTTGATTATTGCCAACAAAGTCAACAAAATTTTGAGCCCGTAGGCAAGCCAAAGGCAGGAAAACTCTCGCAACTATTCATTAATACTCATTGCTACTCATAATGAGTACTTTGAGTACTCTGGTATTTTAATCCCAAAACGTACGCTCTTTCCCCAAGGCAAACGAGTTAAATGCCAAATAATGCCGCAGATCATGTACAATTTGTGGTCTGAGTTTCAACTGCACAAAGCTTTTTCCTAATCAACAACACTGACGGCAATTGTTGTTAGTTGCTGTTAGTTGTTAGTTGTTGTTAGTTGTTAGTTGTTGTTGTTGATGCTGTAATAAAGTTGCCCACTGGCCAACAATTGTTGCCCCGTCTACGTTTTGTTGCCAGCTTCTGTTTTGTTTGCATTACTGCCGCGGACGGTCAATGGCGCGTACAAAGTGGCTGTCGCTGCCGGGGAAGGGCGTGTTTGGGTGGGCGTGGCCCTTGAATAGCTTAGCTAATGCGATTTTATTGTCGTGCGATGTTTACCTGTTGATTAATGATGAAAGCCCTGCCAACACATTCGCTAATTGTTTACGTTTTCTCTACCATCTTCTCCATTACACACACTCTCTCTCTCTCTCTCTCTCTCTCTCTCTATCTCTCTCTCTCTCCCTGTCTAGCACTCAGCCTCAGGCGACGGCCTGCCAGGCCATGAAGGACAAACGCTGCTGCTGGACACGTGGCAAGGTGATTGGCGGCAGCTCCGTGCTGAACACGATGCTCTACATACGCGGCAATCGGCGGGACTTTGATCAGTGGGCGGCATTTGGGAATCCCGGCTGGTCGTTCGAGGAGATTCTGCCCTACTTCCGCAAGTCGGAGGATCAGCGCAATCCGTACCTGGCGCGCAACAAACGCTACCATGGCACAGGTAAGTTCTCGTGCAGTTAACCAACCCCGTCCGCCTACATAAAAGCCTTTTTAAAGCGTCTTTAAAGCTTTAAGTCAGCTTTATTGAATGCATGCAATAATTACTTAAAGCTTTCGGGTGCTTTAAGAGCGACGTTGACTGAATTCTCCAATAATTGGAAGGAAATGCTTTTTAGCACACTTTTTAAGTTCTTGCATGCACAAGATTCATGATATTATCTGACTTTAGCTTTAAGTAATCTACTTTATGGTATTTGTATACGGCTTATCAAGAGCTTTCAAAGCTTTTTTTTAAACAATTAATTTCTTGTGATGCTTTCAAGCAGCTTTCCCGCTCAGCCTCTTTATAACCCTTTCGCCTGTCGTCCACCTTGAAATACTTTAATTAGAACACATTCATTGCAGGTGGCCTCTGGACAGTGCAGGATTCGCCCTACAATACGCCCATTGGGCCGGCCTTTCTGCAGGCCGGCGAGGAGATGGGCTACGATATCGTCGATGTGAACGGAGCCCAACAGACGGGCTTTGGCTTCTACCAGTTCAATATGCGTCGCGGTTCGCGCAGCTCGACGGCCAAATCGTTTCTGCGACCGGCCCGTTTGCGCTCGAATCTGCATGTGGCGCTCTTCTCGCACGTGACAAAGGTGCTGACAGATCCGCAGACGAAACGCGCCACCGGGGTGCAGTTCATCCGGGATGGCCAACTGCAGAATGTGTATGCGACGCGGGAGGTGGTGCTGGCCGCTGGCGCCATCGGCAGTCCGCATCTGATGATGCTCTCGGGCATTGGCCATGGCGAGGAGCTGGCCCGTGTCGGCATACCGCTGGTGCAGCACTTGCCCGGCGTCGGCCAGAATCTGCAGGATCACATAGCGGTGGGCGGGATTGCCTTCCTGATTGACTATCCCATCTCGATTGTGATGAAGCGCATGGTGAACATAAACACGGCGCTGCGGTATGCCATCACCGAGGATGGGCCGCTGACGTCCAGCATTGGGCTGGAGGCGGTCGCCTTTATCAATACCAAATATGCAAATGCCAGCGACGATTGGCCGGATATGAACTTCATGATGACCTCCGCCTCGGTAATGTCCGATGGCGGATCTCAGGTGAAGACCGCCCACGGTCTGACCGACGAGTTCTATCAGGAGGTCTTTGGCGAGGTGAACAATCGCGATGTCTTTGGCATATTCCCCATGATGCTGCGGCCCAAGAGTCGCGGCTACATTAAGCTGGCATCGAAGAATCCCCTGCGCTATCCCCTGCTCTACCACAACTACCTCACCCATCCGGACGATGTGAATGTGCTGCGCGAGGGCGTCAAGGCGGCGATTGCCGTCGGCGAGACGCAGGCGATGAAGCGTTTCGGTGCTCGCTTCTGGAGCAAGCCGCTGCCCAACTGCAAGCATCTGACCCTGTTCACCGACGAGTACTGGAACTGTTTTATCAGGCAGTACACGATGACCATCTACCATATGAGCGGCACGGCCAAAATGGGGCCGCCCAGCGATCCCTGGGCCGTCGTGGATCCACAGCTGCGGGTTTACGGTGTCCCCGGATTGCGTGTCATCGATGCGAGCATCATGCCGGCCATTACCAATGGCAATATACACGCACCGGTTGTCATGATCGCCGAGAAGGGCGCCGATCTCATCAAGCAACTGTGGCTGACCCCCACCACGAAGCCCACGGATCAGCAATGGCGCACGAAGCGTTCGCTGACCCCCGCCAATGAGACGCTCGCGGAAAGGGTGCGACAATGGCCATTGCCAAGCTCGTAGCGGGCAGCGGGCGGCGGGTAGAGGGGTAAAGTTGTGAGTCGACCCGGAGGCATATGCTGATCACTCAGTGACAGTTGCTTAAAGTAGCTTTTTAAGCTTGAGAATAATCTTGTGGAAAAGAAATGAAAGTCAAGCGAAAGCGCATCGTGACCAGTTTGTAGAGCTTTGGACTCTAACTGAGCTTAAATGTCAGCAGTCAATAGAATTTAGCTTAAATGAGGCTTTAATGTACTTTCTTAACCAGTTTCCAAAGCTCTTTTATCCTTTTTTAGGGCTCACTAAGAGCTTTCCTTTAATTTCTTAAACAGTTGCTAAAGCTTTCATGCTTGATATTGCTTATAATCTTAAGCCCAAAATTTCATGTGCTTAAACTTTATTTTGATCAGTTAACGCAAAAAAGCTCGCCAAAAGCTTTTGTATTGAAGATGAGTATTCAGTTTCAAGCCTCATTTTAGTCAACTTAGCTTAGGTAAAAGCTCAGCCAGAGCTTTTAAAAACGATCCGCCACTTAAAAGAAATCCCCAAAGCTCATTCTGTGTGCTGTTGCTTGCACAAGATTAATCTCAAACTACAGCTTTACTTTAAGCTCGTGTCATTGAACCAGGCTCTTTAACCGGGAATAGGTTTTAGTTAGTTAATTCTCGTCGCATGTGCGCACATCGCACGTTTAATTTATTAAGCTTTAGTTCGCTCTGCTGCTCCTATTTCTGTGCGTTGTCCTTAGTCAAATAAGCGCTTCTTGTAAATATCGAGTCATTTATGCTAATACGTTTGTTTGTTTTATACGTGGATATACATATATACTTTACTTACATATATATATACTATTTTTTTTTTTTTGTGCGAGTGTCTGATACTAAATATGAACCATTTTTTTTATACTTCGCCGCGTACACTTGGAGTACCTCAATTAGCACTTAAGTTGGATACGAAGTAATCAGTGTTTGAATTTAAATAGCTGTTATATTTAACGAATACATGAGTAAAAAAAAAATAAATAAAATAAAAATAAAAATAAAAACAAGCCAGGGAAATATTATTTCACAGTGCTTTCCAAAACTGCGCAATTTTAGCGAGTGCACAAGCCGCAATCTGCGATCAGCGAGCACACAAACCTTAAGCCTTAGTCTACTTTACGATTGATTTTGTTGCGAGCTGCGAAATATTATTTCACAGTGCTTTCAAAACCTGCGCATTTTTAGCGAGCGCACAAGCCGCAATCTGCGATCAGCGAGAACAGAAACCTTGAGCCTTAGTCTACTTTACGATTGATTTTGTTGCGAGCTTTTGCTGACGCTCCCGTTCCAAAAGCTGAGCTTAACTTTGAAGCTTACCTGCAAAAAAGAAATTTAAAAAAGGTTTAACTCAGCTTAAGATAAATGCAATATGCAAGCTTTATAAAGCTAGATTTAATTTAAAAAATATTTTAAGCTTTTACGCCTTGAAGCAGTTCCGTTTTATCTAAATTACAATATTGTATATTTAGCACAAATATTTTTGTCAGATAACTTTGAAGATAACTTCTACTTCGTTTAAGCTGAACCCAAAAGTATGCTATGCAAGTATTAGTTCGAATATGGAATTCGAATTTCTCAAGTTAAGCCTACTTCCTAGAGTTCGCATATTAGTTTTGGAAATATCTTTCAATTTTATTAAAGTTGAAAATTATTTGATATATAATTTTTTATAATTTTGCTAAAAAATGTTATAGAAAATATATGTATCTATATATTAATATAACTGGATACTCTTTTCACGTGCACAATATTTTTACAATATGATAGGAAAAATTTAGATTTCACTTTGGTTCCAACCAAACGAAAGAAATATATAATATATGATATATAATAACAAAATTTATAATATATATAATATATGATATATAATATTTAATGCATGATATATGATTATATATCATATATGCTTCAATCGAACGAAACCATTTGTAACTGGCTACTTAAATCAGGACTCTACAACTTATCTGAAATGAAGTAAAATTTGTATGCCATTCAAGATCATTTAGCTTGGATCGCAAAAAGAAAACCTAAATAAATTTTTATTGAGAAAAAAAGTACGAACAGGCAAGCCTTTAGACAGTAGTTATATCATCCATCATTCCAATGTGACATTATTCGTATAAATGTGCGCATCTATCTCAATACAAATTCGCAATATAAATTCTGTTAATCTGTCACGTCGTCGGCATAAGATACACGTTTGAGGCTTCGCACGGAACGTGCAAAACTTATCAATTAGATAATTAAGGAAACAGTTGCAGTTGGATATAAGCGTCAGCAACTGTCGAATAATCGATTGACAACGATTAATATCAGTATTTGCTTGCCACAGCTAACTTAACAAGCGTAAAATATTAATCAATTTCAGACGCAGCCTACTTAACACGCCCATTAAATTGATTAATGTTGCCAGATCACTTACAAAAGATTTATAGCACGTTTTCTTTATGAATCGTTAATCAATTTTAGTAGGCGCAGCCAACTTAACGAACACATCAAATTTTTAATGCTGCCAGATCGTTTAAATAAACTGTTGGTGGATTTAATCCAAGAAAAATGAATCCTAGAAAGCTAGGAAGCTAAAGACACCAATTAGATATATTTTATTGATGAGATATTTTTATTCATTTATTTTTTATTTATTTTTTTGTTTTTTATTAGGGAAAAGCGGAAAAGCCGCTACGAATATCCGAATCGCATTTTAAGTATGGCCTTAGGCAGATGTTACGCAATCTGGCCAGCAAATAATTCAAGGCAATAGATAGACTTTTCCTCATTGTACAAACAATGAGTGCGTAAATTAGCTAAAAAAAAAAAAAAAAAACAATTAATTAAATCAAATAAGTTCACTCAATGCGTTGTCCAATTAGATGCGCCGGGGAACCGTTAAATGGAATTCCGAAGCGATTGCAATTACAAGCTCATTTCGAAGATGATTGCAATTAGGCTTTACGCAGGAGGTTTTTGGGGACGGGGGCCGCACCGTAATGCTGATTGGGGCTGGGATTATAAAAAAAAAACTTAACGATGCTTGAACAATGATACGTATACGTATTGAATAATGCATTGCATATTTTGCTTTTCTTAATATTATTTTTCTATGGAGGTGGTGGCCATTCGGTTGGGCCTGGCCAATGATTTTGTTAACAAAATGCATTATAATTACATAGCGCAGTTAATACTCTGTTCTGAGCTCGAAGATGGGGTATATTCAAGCTTGAAGTCGAGCGACTGGTTTACAAAGATCTTTTATGCAACACTTTTTCACCAATTTTCCACATTTGCGTGTGGAACGGGAGGATGGAAGATGGAGTATATTGAAGCTTAAAACCGAGCGGTTGGTTAACAAAGATCATCTTCCCCCAATTTTCCACAGTTGCGGGTGAAATACTCAACAACGCTGAAAAACGTATTCATTTGGTTTTGATTATAAATTTAAAGACGATCGGAAGAAACTTAAAAATTCGCCCATAAAACCTTTGACATTTATTTCCACCTAGAAGGGTGGAAGCGTGGCGAAAAGTGTGAAACCCAGCACAAATGAATTTGACTAGTAAATTTTTGGAAATAAGTTTGATGCCCATTGAATGATTAACAAAAAAAAGTTGTTATGCAATCGTTTTCCTCGATTATTCCACACTTGCGGGTGGAACTCTTCAAAATCGCGAGCAAATTTCAGCTTCATAACTTCAACTTCATAACCATCAATCAGTCGGTCAATCAGTCAGTCAAGCTGTATTATATATAAAGATTTACTATATGTATTTCCCTGCAGCTCTAAAGCCAAGCTCACCAAAATGATTATAATTATATTCAAAATTGTTATCGATTGAAGAATAAAATGATTATTTATTTATTCTCTTCACAAGAAATCAGCTTCAGCCAAAAATGCTTAATTTTTTTTTTTACTGGGAACAGAGTATCGCCTAGTTGGGCGTCACTAGCGTTCTGATTTTTACTCGTTTTTTTTTTTTGTTTTTGTTTTTTTGATAATGGCCGCAATGGATTTGCCGTTCCGACTCCTCGACTGGCGCCTACGACTTAGGTCGCGGAAAATGGCCATAAATTCAATGTTGCAGCTGTGCTGGGGGGGGGGGGGGGGGGGCAGGGCGCAAGGGGTTGATTTTGCTGCTGCCAGAAATGCTCTCAAGTGCAACGCATAAATATTTATGCTGCAGCAACCGACCCCCAGCTCCCCCTCCCCACGGCACCAGCGACTGTCTGCCTGGCCAGCGCATTGACCGCCCAAAATTGAGCGAAACGAAAGTTTGCCAACTCCAAAAACGGCTTCAATGTCAACCGCTGGCCAAGCGGAGCAGCAGCAGCCCATGTTGTTGCAGTTGTTGTTGTTATTGTTGTTGTTGTTGTTGTTGTTGATACCATTTCACAGCTGCGACTCACCGCGTGGCCAAATGCAGTCAAGCCCCAGCTGGCTGGGAAGTGCCGGAAGTGGAAGTGGCAAGAAATATGCGAATGTCTTGGGAAGAAAATTTATTTGACTTCATTTAACTGGCTAAATTGTGGCGTGTGCGTGTGTGTGAGTGTGAGTGTGTGTGCGAGTTCAATGTTGGCGCTGTGATTCAAGCATGCTGCGAATGCGCTGAGCGTGTGTGTCCCCACTTGGCGAATATCCACAGAGTTCACAGAAAGAAAGAAGCACAAAAAAAGAAGCAGCATTTCAAGCCACTTGAATGTCTTAATGAATGAACAAATGAATGAATGACAGAGTGAATGAAGATGCCGGCGTTGACAGTTGACAGCAGTTCGAGTAGCAAATGTGGGCAACGGTGGTGCAAAGTGGGTTCACCAAATGCACAAGCCGCGTGTGGGTTTCCTAGGGGGGGTCGTTCAACGTTTCAGCTGAAAGACATTGCACTCTGACTGTGAACCTGGCCTGACAATGTCAGAGCTGGAGCTATTGGAGAGCGTGGGAAAGAGAGAGGAAGAGAGAGGGGCAGGGAGATGGAGAGAGGGGGAGGGAGAGATTCAGTTAATTATATACTAGAGTTAATAAAGCCTAAAGGCGAGAGAAAGAGAGAGAGAGAGAGAGAGAGAGAGAGAGCGAGAGAGAGAGAGAGAGAGAGAGAGAGAGAGAAAGCAATGAAGCGAAAGATAAATTTAACGATTTACTTGATTTAGAAGAACTTAAAGAGGATTTTGCGGCAAAGAGAAAGTAAGAGAATAAAAATATAAGAGAATGAGAGATAGGGAAAGGAAGCGAGAGGTAAGGAGAGACAATTTCGATATAAGAGTTGATAGAGTTGGATAGGAGCGAGAATGAAAAACAGAGAAAAAGAAAGGAAGAAAGGGCGAGAGAGATAAATGGGAAATGAGTAAGAGAGAGAGAGAGAGGGAGAGAGAGAGAGAGAGAGAGAGGAGCAATTTGATTGATATATTAGAGCTGGTAGAGCTTAATGAGAAAGTCCTTCGGAACAGAGTCGAGGAAGGGAACGAGTAAGTTGATGGAAGAGAGGAAGTGAGGAAGAGAGAGCGAGAGCTTGAGCTAGATAGAGGGGTCAATAGAGTTAAAAGATCCGATAGAAGAGGCCAGAAGTGGCCCAGGAAATAAATAAATTATCTACAACACTTTAAGGATAGAGTTGTTTAGTGTTGGAAAGTGTCTCACAAAACATGGCTAATTGTAATCTTGCCCAATTTATGTGATACCCTAATAACACTAATAATAAATGGCATTCTTTGCAAATAATAACTTTGTATGCATAGGGAAGGCTAAGGGTATTGCAGATGTGCGGAGATTGAGGAGAATTGTAAAGATCGTAATTGCAAAGTTTGAAAAGATATTTCGTGAAATAGAACATTCTTGCAGACAAAAACTCATTTTGCAAACAATATATAATAGTCCAATGCTTCTACGATGTTTCCTATATGAAAGAAACATGGTAGAATTCAATTTTAGACAGATCGCGCCTATGATATTCACATGATATAGTAGTCCGATCCGGCCGGTTACGACATACATATGTATGCTGCCCGCAACAGAAATATGTCTCTATCTCTATGTGCTGTACATCATAACTGGGACTGACAAAATTATAATACCCACTGGAAGGGCATAGAAATTCTGGTGAAATCTCAATTCATAGCTTTAAGGAGAAGTGTGAAGAGAACAGACTTATATGAGAATAATGTAGAATACAGGGTATCTAGTACGAGCTCAAATGACTTTCACAAGAAAGCTTGAGAGATGATCATGGGGTGTAGCCTGAAAGCAAGAGACAGGCCATAAGGCCGTCCGCAAGTAGTGTGTTCATATGCCAGTTAGCCAATAAAATCGGCTGGTGATCCAAGCACGCGGAGAGGAAAAGCAATCAATAATGGGCCGATAAGCGAAACTGATCGCTTACGATCAGTGTCAAGTGTGGAGCAGCACAAGCAAAGGCAAAAGCTTTTGGCAAAAGCTGCAAGCTCTGCGAGAGAAGAAGAGAGGGGAAGAAGAGAGAAAAAGAAAAGAAACCCAGCTCAAACGTTGGGCAGCGCACGTAGACGAAGACGAAGACGAAGACGAAGACAAAAGCCAATTTGGATGAAGGAGCAAGAGAAGAGGCAGACGCCGACGAAGACGAATGAAAACGAAAGTGCAGCCGCAATGGTCAGGCGGCAGCTTTTGGTGCCCTGCTGTAGGGTATTATAATTTTCTCACAGAGTATGTAACACATATATATAGATATATATATACATATATACTTGATCAGATCGGACGAATAAAGAATAAAGAACGCAAGAATGGGCCAAATATTAGATTAATATAGGATAAACTTTACAAGATATTTATTTTTAAGATATTTCAAGCCAACTGGCTTTCAGCTGATTTCAGTAGGGAACAAACAAATTATCCGAATCTTAACAATATCAGACTACTATATCATATAGCTTTATAGGAACAATCGGTCGACAAATGATTGTGTTCTGCATTTTTCAAACTATTTTTACAAATATCTTTCACAATGGTGCATAACAGTAAAGAGTATTTAGTCTTCGGCGTGCCGTAGCTCTCCAGCTTGTTTTGCTTTGCTTTTGGCGTGACTTAAGCGAAGAGCTTTATTTTTTATATATATACATATATGTTTTTTGGGACTTGAGCGGCGACTGCGCTCAAGCGATTTGCTCATTGAACAAGACGAGCCCGTAGCGTGCGTATCGTACAGTCAGCGCCCGCTGTCGTCGTCCACGTCGTGACAGTGCCTGTCAACAATTATATAAAAAAAGACAATAAGAAGCAGCAGAAATAAGCTAAAAACTAAATAAGTCGCTATCAGCTAAAGTTAAGCGTGTTGTGCTTTCAAAATCCCAAGTGAACTTTGCGTCGTATGCCCAAAAAACGTTTATTTCTTGTCGCTTTTTTTTTTGGTTAATTTTTTTTTCAAGACGTTGCACAGTGAAGAGATATATATATATATATATATAGAGAGAGAGAGAGAGAGAGAGGGAGATGTGTAAAACAAAGGAAAGTGGCAAGCGGTTGCGTTTGTGGTAACTGCAGACGAGGCAACGCCTGCAGCCGCAGACAACAGCAGCAGCAGCAGCGGCAACTGCGGCGGCAACTGCGGCAGTAGCTGCAACAACAACAACAACAACAGCGACAACAAGCGGAGGCAAGTTGACAAAATGTCTTGTACTAAACACACACACACACACACACACACACACACACACACACACACCTGCAGCTATCCACGCACTTGATTTACTTGTCCTAATTTTCACTTTTTGGAAAGCGCAAAACGCTTGCAATTCGTTTATGTAATCGAAACTTTTGGCTTTAACTTTAATTTATAATACCAATACGCATTCCATTATCATTCCGTCTGTCCATTTCCAAAATATTGCCATTTTAGTACAATATTATTTCTCTAATATAAGCCAAAATTCCAGAATATTCCAGTTTCATATTTTAATGCCCGTTTTAGGTCGATTTCTATATCTCTTACATTTCACTTGCATTTCGTTTCAATTCCATTTGTCTGCCATTTCTCTATTTTCATTTAATTTCATTATTATTCATTTATGTTAACCTTTAAGAGTCCTATTTATTACTATTTTAATGTTCGTTGCAATTTCTTTTCGATTCCAATTTAATTTTGCTTGTCAATTTTCATTTCAATTTAATGTTAATACCATTTTATAGGTGTTACTATTTTATTTCGATTCCAATATAATACCATTTTCATACTATTTCAATTCCATTCAAATTTCATTTTCTTGCCATTTCGCGGCAAACTTTTTTCATTCTATTTCAACTTTATTTTATTAGTATTTTCTTGTCGTTTTTGAACATTTTCAAAACTGTTGCAAAACCTTTTTCTATATAATATATATACATATAGATTCAGATTTAATTTCACAACCAAATCAACTCCATTTTAATTCCATATAAATTCCACTGAGTTCTTTTCCATATTCATTTGATTTAATTATATTCCGTATTAGTTGCACTTTAATTCAATACCATTTTCCATTCGATTTCCATTTATATCATTGTCTAATTTCAATACCATTTTCGATTCTATATCGATCTATTTTTCGATCTAATTTCAATTCAATTTTCCTTTCCATTTTCATATATTTTGTTACCTAATTTCTAAATCATTTTGCTTTCCATTTCCATCTATTTTTCTATCTAATTTCAATACCACTAACCATTTCATTTCCACCCATTTTTATATCTGATTTCAATACCATTTTCGATTCCATTTCCATCTATTTCTTAATGCAATTTCAATAACATTTGCCCTTCCATTTCCATCTATTTCTTTATATAACTTTCCAGAACGTTTCAATTTCACTTTCATTTCATTAAATTGTCATTTGTGTATATTCCATTTCATTTCAATATCATTTCCTATCATGACATTTGATTAATACCATTTTGATGCCCATTTCTCTACCATTTCATTTTCATTATCATTATCATTTCCATTTTCGATTTCATTTCCGTTTCATTACCAATTCTCGACCGGTTCTTTGCGTCATTTGAATTCCGTGCGAGTTGTGCGTTCTTATGTAATTGCAATCGATGCCCCTCCCCCCCCCCCCCCTTAAACACCCCTCCCCCAGCACAAGCCCAGGGCAGCTCCCTTTGGGCCCGATGAACGTGCTCGCTGGCAACTGACACTTTCTACCTTTCGGCTGTGCCGCCGCCGCCTCGCACCTGCGCGCGCAAATTATTATCAATTTGTGCACGTCGAAGCTATAAATAGTCGATCATGCGGCTACCGCGGCATAAAACAACGATTTAACGGAAAACCAGCCGAAAGGAAAGTAAGCGCCGATAAACAGACACACGTTTGAAAGATAGCCACAGTCACCAAACTAATACCAAACCCATAAAAAACCAAAATGTCCCTGCTCGGGCGCCATTTGATTGGCATTGGCTGAAATCAAGTTCATAGCCAAGTTGGCGGATATAGACCAAGGCGTAGACCAGGAAAACTGGAAAAGCAAAAGGCGACAGCAGCCTGTCATGATCAGCCAATCTGGACAATGGGGAAAAGGCAGATAAGGCAACAAAAAATACTAGTTATGGCTGAGATCTTATCGATTACATGCACTGCACAGCTGCAAAAAAAAAACACACGAGTGGGTGATTGATATAAACGCAAAACATGCCAGCTATTGCAGCAGCAAACGAAAGTTGTACAGTAAATGTTATCGATAACAGCAGCAGTCAAAATTATTGAGCAATTTACGTATATATCTTGCTAGTTAGCCGCCAGTTATCAATTGAATTAATACAACATGAGAGTGACAAGCTAATGAAAAGTTATGGCCCAGTTGTTATCGATAATAACAGCTCTTGCTAGTAAGTCGCCTGTTATCGATAACATCTACAACATAAGAGTGTCAAGTAAATGAAATTTATGGGCCAGCTCTTATCGATAATAAGTGCTTTCCCCGATGTTATCAATACTTCGGGCTGCTTATGCGAATAAAAGGAGAATGTTAACTGTACGATAACAATTGTTATCGATAACATCAACTTAACACCATCTAGACACATTTATAAAAATATTATTTGATAGGCTTGATCGGCAAATGTGGACAAAAATCCAAACTAATATAGCAAATTTATCATTTTATATTTTTTATCGATACCATTTAGCGCTGGGCAACATAAGCTATTGTTGAAGGCTTCAGGCACTTGTTGAATATAAGAAACAAATCTGTTGATATACTTCTTAACGATTTGAAAAGTATCAGCATAAGGTTTATGCCAGTTTTAATTTATCGATAACATGCAATGTTAGGGAATCTGATAGGGAAATTGATGTAAAGAGAAACAAACCAACAAAATATATCGATAACAAGTACTTTTTGGGGGCTGAATTGAAGCTAACCAAAAAACTATCACCATTTTTTATCGTTTGTTAAATATTTAATGTGTTCCTCTTTATGATGGGGAAAAGAAGCATACCAAATATTATAACACTTGTGATCGATAACATATGAATATAACCAAAATAATCGAATAATCATAGCTGTTATCGATTACATGTGCATTTCTGAATTTAGCCCTTAACACTTGTCTTTGCCCGCAAATATATTGTCACAGTTGTTATCGATAACATGTAAAGCGTACGTGCAGATTGCACAGAAAAAGAAAATATGAAATCTTTGCGAAGTTGTTACTGTTGGCACGCTTGGCGAATATTTGGAGCACAATTCGCTGCAATTAGGAAAAGAAATACATTGCACAGATGTTATCGATAGCCAGCGCATGTCGCGTGAGCAATTAGCTATTGTCGTCGGTTGACAGACAGACTTGGCTAATGTGCCGCAACAGAAGCAAATGCGACCGGAAATGTGAATGGAACTCGGCGCCATTAACTAACGCATAAACTAAGCCAGCTGACTAATTAGTCGCGGTATTTTTTAATACTTATATTTCGATGCGGCAAACGGCAGCGAGCGTGATTCAGGTGAGAAAGTGTCAAGACCTGCAGCTGGCAGTTAAGTTGGCTTTACGGCCACGCTGAGTGACCCACTAAAAAGCTGAGCTATGCAAATAAATCAAACAAAACGACCGAAAATATGCAGACAAATGTCATCAATTATGAGCCGTAAACTAAGCCCAGTCATAATTAAAAGCTGTCAAATCATAATTGACGGACAGACAGACCCAAACAGCGACTGTCTATGGCTCCATGTGAACTGTGTTCCTAACAATGTGTATATTTCATAAGAGACCAGCAACAACAATGAACAATGAACAATTGACAAGAGCTCATCATACTGGAGCTAAAGCCATAGCCACAGTTCGCTGGGAGTAGCTGCTGAGCAGGGGCGTAGTGTGGAGTGTGGAGCTCTATATACATAAATATGATGTAAAGCTGGAGGCACACACAAATTCAATGAATGAAGAAAAGCCCGAAAAGAGCTCGATTGCATCATCTTAGCCAGCGCAAGATGGCGTTAAAGATGGGCTTAAAGAGCGGGCAGTTGAAGCTGGGATTCGAGCCGGCTGAAGCTGGCCCAAATCACAAATGTCGTCTGTCCCAAGGGCGTTGCATAAATTAACATGTTGCATGCAGCAGCGGCCATGTTCGACGTTTGCCGTTTTACTTCAACTTTTTTTATGTTTTATTTCCTTTTTTTTTTTTTTTTTATTATTATTTTGTGTACTATTGCGTTTGGCAGTTAACGGCGCATTTTGATTTGAATTATAGTTTGGTGTAGATTTTTGTTGGTATTTGGCTTATGGCTCAGTTACAAGCGAACCGCGCGACGCGACGGGCTCTAAACGCGACTCGGAAACTTCCAGACTTCAAGTCAATTACATTTTCACGTTTTCATTGCGGGTAATCCAAAAATATATGTATATACATATATATCAGAGTATGTGGATATACATGTGTACATATCAGCAAATGTTGTTTTTTATTTGTTTGGCTTTTTTTTTCGTGGCTTAACTATTGCAATTCTCAACCAGTCAAAGCTGCGAGCAGGGCAGCCAATATACATCCTAGTGCCATCCTAGTGTCGATAGCCAACTCTGCCAACGGCAACTTTAATTAGTCAAACAGTTAAAGAGCTTTTTTTTGGTTGTGTGTTTACGCCTTGTGGTTTATTAGTTGTTATTTAAACAAAACATAAACTCGAGCTGTTTGTTTTAATATGAGTTAAGCAGCAAAAATATGCTTTAACGCCAGTGCAAGTGCCCGACGAAGAGATATCGTGTACCCAGCGCCAAGCTGGCGTTGTTTTAGCTAGACAAACCCAAGGCTGTTCTTCTATTTCCCTTTGCCCCACACTGTGTGGGTGAATTCGGCGTTTAAAGTCCGATCTTTATGAAAATTGTAGTGCCTAAATATGGCATAGAAAAGTGAATATGTATACCCAAGCGCAAGTCGTTGCCTTTAAATATACGTTGTTTTTTGTTTTAATGTTCTGTATTTGCCAAGTTTAGTGTATTTTCGAGTTAAGCTTAAGAAACCATGTCCCAAGATCGATATTTATCGATTTTATATAAAAAAAACTTATGATTTGACCAAGGACCAGGAAGTGTCAGGAAGTCTCACTCTATTTGCCTCGCTCACTCTCTCTCCCCCCCTCTCTCTTTTCCTCCTGCTTGGTTAGGCCTGTCTCTGGCGGCCTGTGTGGGGTTTGCTTTCACTGGTATCGTTTAAATCGACCACGACAACATGTTGTTGCCGTAGACTGGAAAAACCACAGCACCAGCAGCAGCAGCAGCATCTAACGGACAGTGCGCAATTAAAGCTGACACTCGGACGGGCGGCGGCAGACGGCAAATGACATTCAGACAAACAAACCAAATAACGAAATTGCATTTTACGATAACTTAAACAACAACAAAAAATAAAAGATATATATATATATAGAAAGAAAAACCAGAAAAGTCGAGTATTGCGAGACGCGATGCAAAGTTGCGCTTTTCCGGCTGGCGGCATTGAACTTGAAAAACATGAACCGCGTCGCATAATCGCAGCTCAGCAAAACAGAGACAGAGAGATTGAGAGAGAGAGAGGGAGAGAGTGTCAGAGAGCGGGTGGAGGGGGGCTCGCGCATGTCTTTAATGAGATGCCGTTTTGACATCATTTGAATTTGATTTTCAATCTGTGATTTGATAACCTTTTTTCTTTCTTTCTTTCATTCATTTTCTCAATTTTTCGATTTAAAAAAAAAAAAAAACGAAAAACATTTTTTTTGGTTGCTTGCGAAAAATGTAAACAAGTTCGTTGCCTAAGTCTTTTGTTTGTGACCGCGTGCAGCGTCCGCTGCGTGCGTGCGTGTGTGTGTGCGTGAGTGTGTGCTGGCCATGCAAATGAACGTCAACAATTGGCCAATTGGATTGCAAAATAGGCATCATCGCTTCCGCGCTGAGCCCCCGTTAATGATTAGCCAGTTCAGAGAGCGAAACAAACAGCAGAGAGAAGATTCAACTTATCCGATGCGATGTGCCAGAAGCCAGACAATATAACGATAATGCGCTGGAATAATATCTAATTGGGATTAGCTCTGAGCTCAACTATTCAGCAGCTGCTTAAAGCTGCCTTCTCGACTGTTCGAGCTTTCCATCTTATCCCATTCGAATATATCCCAGATTCAGACTTAGTTGAAAGAGTTGACTATTGGGATCTAATTAAACAGCAGCTATGATTAGTATTAATATTGTCATATATTATTATTATATATTATATATTTAATCCAGCATAGCATTTGATAATGCTGACATAAAATGAATTATTTATTCAAGAGGACCTTCTATACTATATACATATACATATATATATATATATATTGTATATATATATTGTCTGGCCAAAAATTACGTAGTAGTTGTACTTTTGTGATTTAGTTACAGAAGCAGCCTCTCCCACTGAAAACGAGGTACACGACCCGAGCAGCTTGCCATTAAATAGACTTTGGCTGCATCATGGAATACGCGAAAGTACGGAAAATAGACACTTGCCATACGATTTTGCAAATATGTGAGAAGAGTGAAGCTTGTAAATATCTTGGAAAACAGAAAAGTTTGCCATCCAAGAACCCTTTTTAATATAGTGATCCGATCCGGCCGGCTCTGACATAAATACTGCCTACAACAGAAAGAAGGACCTAGCCAGAGACAATTAAAACTGATAGGAGAAAGAGAGAGAGTGAGAGAGAGAGAGAGAGAGAGTAGTTTGCACAGAAACAGACAGACGGACATACTTGGCCATATCAAATCGGCTGTTGATGCTGATCTAGAATAATGATATACTTCTGTATGTCTATTCGCTTCGATCCTAGCGTCTTAAAGAGCTAGAGAAATGATCGAGTTTACAATTAAAAAATCGATATCAATAGAAATCGATATTGCCATTGAATACTCTGGGCATATTACGGCGCTTTTAAGAGTTAGAGGCAACAAATTTTGGCTGTAGGGAATCAAGCAAGCATTTTTAATAGTGCGGAGCTATGGGAAGAAGAGGAAGTAGAAAATAAACTCCACTTTAAATAAATAAAGCTTTGGTTAGGCAAATTTTGTTCGGCTCAAAGGCAGCTTGTCGCCTTCCTAAACTGTACAAATCCATCATCATTTTATCAAGAATTTTTGGTTTTTGTTTATTGCAGTTCTGTCCATATTGCAGTTGAAATATGGGCCAAGAGGTATCGCAACAGCAGCAGCAACACCACAACCACAACCAGAACCAGAACCTGAACCACAACCAGAACCAGAGCCAGAACCACCACCTGAACCAGAACCACTGCCTGAATCAGAACCAGAACCAGAACCAGAACCAGAACCAGAAGCGTGGACAGCCGCATCGCAAGAGCTACAAGGATAGCATATACACGCCCGCCAGCCAACTATCGAGTAGCTGCAGCTCGAACAGCACCGACGACTACGAGGCGAACTATAGACTGCGCCACAAATACAATCTGAGCAAGCAGACATACGAGCGCACCAAGATCCTGGCCAACCGCAGCAGCCTGCCAACGGACAGTGATTCGCATTACGCCAAGCTGAACGGCAAGTATTTGCAGCGCAGCAGTTCGCAGAGCAGCGACAGTGGAATCTACAACTCGTCGTGCCACTGCTCGTCGCTGTCATCGCTGTCGGCGGTCAGCAGCAGCTCGGCGAGCTCGAGCAGCGGCTGTCCCAGCTCGCTGCTGTCCAGCAAGTCCGGTCGCTCGCTGGACAAGCAGAAGCACTATCTGAGCCATCATTTGTATATCAAATCGTATTTGGACATTTTGGAGGAGGACGAACGGGCACGCGCCCATTTCAAGTCGGCACGCCCCGGCGGCATACGCAACTATACGCCAAAAATTTTGGGGGGCGGCGATTCAGCTGCCAGCTCTACGCTCTCAGCCAGTGCGCCGGCTGCCAGTTTCGGTTATCCGGCAGCCAAGCAACGGGCCAGCGTTAGCTCCAATTGCTCAGCGGCCGCTGTTGTTGGTGGCAGAAACTGTCCGGAAGATCCGTGGATTTGACAATTACTGAAACATGGCGTTTGGCACAATGACGTCTTTGCTTGGCATGATCCCGCTACTGGCGATCGGCATGAACTACTATCGCTATCAAAGCATCGATCCCGAGAACAAGGTCCAGGAGCCATCAATCGTGAGTAGCCAGTCCAAGCTGTTGCCTTTTGTTAATTGCTAAATATCCTTGGTATATAACTTCCAAGGCACTTTGGGCTCTCCAAGTCAAGTGCTGGGAATATTAAATCCAGGAAAAGATAATCGCGAATCACATATAGTTCAGAAAGGTATTCGGTTGTCGTGAGAAAACTTAATAATTCAAGTGGAATTTTGATAAAGTAAGGTTGGATTTCCTTCCATTCCATTCAAGTTAAGTAAACCTTTGTTAGGTAAAGCGGTTTAATTAGGAATAAAGGCAAATCGGAAGGTTAAAAAGGAACTCTGTTAGTGCCGCAGCTAACTTTGGTTGTCAGAAAGACATCTAGGCTCTCCAAGTCATCTCATATAGTTTAGAGTAGTCTTCGGTTGTCGTGAGAAAATTTGATAGCTCAAGAGGAATTTCGTTAAAGTAGAAGGTTTGAGCTTGTAAGGTTGGAAGTTCTTCCATTCCATTCAATTTAAGTTGGATCTCTTTCGATTCCATTCAAGTTAAAAAAAACCTTTGTTAGGTAAAGAGCTTTTAATTAGGAATAAAGGGAATTGAGAAGATTGAAAAGGAACTCTGTTAGTGCCTCAATTAACTTTGGTTGTCAGAAAGACATCTGGACTGGGCTCAAAGGAAATGCGATAGTTCGCAAACCTTACTCTTGGACATTTTAGGAAGACAAGTTGCCCATGCAGAGTGTTTAGGCTAGACGCGCAGAAATCAAAGGCCACGATTAATTGTTCGCTTTGAATTGTTGCAGATCCGTCGCCAGTATGACTTTGTGGTGATTGGCGGCGGCTCAGCCGGCGCCGTGGTGGCCAATCGCCTGAGCGAGGTGCGCAACTGGACGGTGCTGTTGCTGGAGGCGGGCGGCGATGAGACGGAGATATCGGACGTGCCCGCGCTGGCGGGCTATCTGCAGCTGACCGAGCTGGACTGGAAGTACCAGACGGCGCCTTCATCGACGCGCCAGTATTGCCAGGCGATGAAGGGCGATCGCTGTTTCTGGCCGCGCGGCAAGGTCCTGGGCGGCAGCTCCGTCCTGAACGCCATGGTCTATGTGCGTGGCTCGAAGAACGACTACGATCACTGGGCCTCGCTGGGCAATCCGGGCTGGGACTACAACCAGATGCTCAAGTACTTTCTAAAGTCGGAGGATGTGCGTAATCCGTATCTGGCGGCCACGCCCTATCACGAAACGGGCGGCTATTTGACCGTGCAGGAAGCGCCCTGGCGCACACCGCTCTCCATTGCCTTCCTGCAGGCGGGCATGGAGATGGGCTACGAGAATCGGGACATCAATGGAGCCAAGCAGACGGGCTTCATGCTCACCCAGAGCACCATTCGACGTGGCGCTCGCTGTAGCACCGGCAAGGCCTTCATACGACCAGTGCGCCTGCGCAAAAACCTGGACGTGCTGCTCCATGCGGAGGCCACACGGCTGCTGCTCGACAAAGAGAAACGCACCATTGGCGTCGAGTACATGAAGGCGGGCCGCAAGCAATTGGTGTTTGTGCGACGCGAGGTGATACTCAGCGCCGGAGCGCTCAACTCCCCAAAGCTGCTGATGCTGAGCGGTATTGGTCCCGCCGAGCATCTGCAGGAGCATAATATACCCGTTGTATCGGATTTGCCGGTGGGCAACAATATGCAGGATCACGTGGGCCTGGGCGGCCTCACATTTGTGGTGGATGCCCCGTTGACGGTGACACGGAGTCGCTTCCAGACCATACCCGTCTCCATGGAGTACATACTGAGAGAGCGCGGCCCGATGACATTTTCGGGCGTTGAGGGCGTTGCTTTTTTGAATACCAAATACCAGAACCCCGCCGTCGACTGGCCGGATGTACAGTTTCACTTTCTGCCCAGCTCCATAAACTCGGATGGCGGTGAGCAGATACGAAAAATATTAAATTTACGCGATGGCTTCTACAATACGGTATATAAGCCGCTGCAGCACAGCGAGACCTGGTCCATATTGCCGCTGCTGTTGCGGCCCAAGAGCACCGGCTGGGTGCGTTTGAATTCGCGTAATCCGCTGCAGCCGCCGAAGCTGATACCCAACTATTTTGCCCATCAGCAGGACATCGATGTGCTCGTCGAGGGCATTAAGCTGGCCATCAATGTGTCCAATACGCAGGCCTTTCAGCGGTTCGGTTCGCGTCTCCACAACATACCGCTGCCTGGCTGCCGGCATCTGGCATTCCAATCGGACGCGTATTGGGCGTGCTGCATCAAGCAGTTCACCTTCACCATATACCATCCGGCGGGCACCTGCCGCATGGGTCCCAGCTGGGATGTTACGGCCGTTGTCGATCCCCGTCTGCGCGTCTATGGCGTCTCTGGGCTGCGTGTCGTGGATGCCAGCATAATGCCAACCATTGTCAACGGCAATCCGAATGCGCCAGTTATAGCTATTGGCGAGAAGGCGGCGGATATGATTAAGGAGGATTGGGGCGCACGTCGAGCAGCCGCTGGCTAGCTGCATTCAATGTTGCTGTTGTACGTTTCCATCAACTAGTCAAATGTGTTATAAAAAACGTATTTTTTTTTTTTTTTTCTTGTTTTTGTTGCAGCAACATCTTGTTTAGTTTTAAGTTGTATTTTATAATTCCAGCTATATTATTTTATCTTTTTGTTAAATATTTATATAAATATTTTTATTTATTTCTATTTGATGTAATTTAATGCAAATGCATGTATTTTTATTTGTTTTTAGTAGCTATAAACGAATAAAAACTTTAAACTTTTAGAATAATTGAATTTTTTGATATACATTTTCAACTGCAGCCTGCGCGTATGCAACAGTTTTATGTGCAGCGAATACACTAACCAGATTGCTGCTCTGCGCTTAGCACATACACACACCACAGTGATAATGGCCAAACCGGTTAGTTTAAGTCATTATAAATACATTTATTTATTATTTACTTTCAAACTTTAATTAATATATATTGCATGCCCACATATACTGTTTGTATCACAAATCAAAGCAATATAGCTCGAGATGAATATTTTCTGTCGCCGCCCGCAAGTATGCAACACTTATTATAGAAATGCCGTTCGCTTCAATTTAGTACGTACACGTACCGCAGAAGCCATTTTAGCTGGGTTTGTAAAATATTTATTTTTGCCGGGTCGTGAAGAAACCTGAAGGGTCTTCTGAGTATTACTTATTGCATAAAATTATCAATATTTATTGTTTACTTTAAGTCCAAGCTCGTACAGTTTGAGCACAGTTAACACGTCTGCTGTTTAATGTTTTAAGCGAATATAAGTTAACAAAGCCGCCTACAAGTATGCTGCACTTAATTAATGCAGTGACTGCACTTACCCAGCCACTTGTTTTGCATTTAGCACATACACACACCAGCTGCCAGCAGCCAGCTGTCACGTATACGTGACGTTGGCCATTTGAGCGTTTTTTGTCTTCCGCTATTTGGTCAAAATTAAAAGCCTGGCCAAATGTCAAATTACCAAATTACTTGACTGGCAATCAAATGGAATCATAATACAATTTCCCTGACTAGCCGCGCGAACGCTGAGGCGTGGCCATCAAGCATTTCCTGCTTGTACAATCGCTTTTAACTATTAGCCTCTGCATCTGCTTGTCTCTCAAGCTCTTTCTCGGTGTCGCGCTCTCTGCCTCTCTTTCACTCGCTCACCTATTGCTGTTCAACTGTGCCAAGGTTAAGCACTAAAATTAACGCATTGGCGACATATTTGGCAGCGCTCACGTTTTATTTCGTAGGTGTCAGCCGGGGAACGGCCCAGACAGCAGTTAAACCAGGCAGTTAAATCAGTTAGCGCCGTTAGTTGAGTTGGCCAAGTTAACAGCGTGCAGCTAATGCGATCGATCAATACGCCGGGGCATGGCCCAATTGGTTGACCAATTCAATTGCAAGACGCAGCGCTAATTTTTGGCCTGACAGTGCCATTTCCCAATAAACAATTCACAATTTGCAATTTGCGTGCGGTCATAAAAAAAAGAATGCCGAGCAGTGCAGATAGCTAGACTAGCAGGATACCCTGAAGTCATTCCCAGATGCATGCACATATGTTTTCACACACCTCACAGGCTTTTAACTGCAGAGTTCACATAGCTAGAAGCTATAAATTTCTGGTTTAATCCAATATTTAAAGCTGGTCTAAATTATAATACACAGTTGCAGTTACCCTCGTTTTGGCTTTAACTACAGGGTATTAAAGACCAGACGAAGCATACGCAAAAGTGCTGAGCAGAGCTGCACATAAACCACCCAAGGCGTTTCTTATATAAGGCCCTTTAGACGGACGTCAAAGTAAATATTTGATTTGATTTAAACGAAATGCCAAGTCATATTATGGCCAACTGAGGGCAAACTGTGGGCGCACAAAGGGCAGGGCAGGGCAGTGCGAAAGCTGGGTGGTGGAGAAGGGGTGTTGGGGGGGGTTGGGCGTGGGTTAGCAAAACGACGAAACGATGCGGCGTACGTGAGTCCAAAATAAATGGGAAAGTGTTATGCGAAGACGTTGGCTGGGCCAAAGCAGAGGCGAGTGAGTAAACAATAAACAAGTCAACAGAGTCAGAGCTCATCATAATGCAGAAGACCAAGATGGCAATGATGATGATAATAATGATAACGATGTTGTTGTTGATGATGATGATGATGATGACACACAGTGCGAAGTGCTCAAAGTGTCTGTGGTCAGTGCGGCAACACGAATGTGGGTCATTAATCGGCTGAGAGCGGCAGCCGCGAGCCAAAAACAATGCAACACGCAACCCGGGAACGAAAAAGCAATTGGCACATTTTTCATTTTTGTTGTTGTTGTTGTTGTTTTTTTGGGTTTTTGTGAAAGATGTTGCCCGGCCAGTTGTTGTTGTGCGCATCGCAAATGTGTGTTGCAAGTTTAGCTGGGCGTACTCTCTGTTGTTTTTCTTCCCGCATTTCGCTGAGGATCAAGACGCGGCTAATCCAACACCTAGGCGGAGGAGGCTGGAATACATAATGTTACAATACCAGCTCGAACAGATTTTACACGTCTGTGTGGCTGTTGCTGCGCACTTTACAGCCACAAGCTAAGCTGCCTCTTCCCTCAGACACCAGACCGACTTCATGGCAAATGCTAGCTTGTGTAACTTCGGAGTTGATGGTCCGATCTTTGTGAAACTTGCAAGGCATGAATAGGGCCATCACATGTGTCTCAAGTCAAGTTTGGTGTGACTAGCTCTTATAATTCTCGAATTGTCTCAAAATCGATTTGATCTATCGATAATAGTTGAATAACCAGTTGGCTTGAAGTAGGCGCTTTTTTTACATTTTGTCAATATTTAACTGAGCTATAAACTGCCCGTCAGACTTTATGAGCCTGTAAATAATTTACGTACCGAAGAAGACAGTCGAAGTGTGCTTAAAATACATTGACAACAAGCAAGAGTTATGCATTTAACAAAAAAAGCCAACCTCCAGCTAGCTCGAGCCAAAAATTCAGCTACATAGTGGATGTGTCGCCAAAAAATCCACAGATATCAAGACAATATATTTCAATTTTAAGTCTCAAGCTTTATGAGCTTCCCTGAGCGATGCAGTCAGAAAAACACACGGACAAGCCGTGTGGCTAAGCCGTTGTTTGACCGCGTTATGGAGTGGGAAATTTTGACCTATGTCTATATACGATATTTGAGGGTACCATTTTAACATGGATTTTGACCCAACAGAATAATGTTGTCAGATTTAGATGCCAAATTGATTGACAGGTCAAGCCGTGAACAAAAAGCCAAACCTCGTGAAAATCGGTTGAGAATTTACCGAGTTATGGGGGTGGGAAATTTTGACCTATGTCATAGGTTAATATCGGGTATACCCGATATATTCTATATAAAATATATTCTCTAATAGATCTTTTGAAAATGAGTTTGAAACCGATTGGATGGTAAACAAAAAATGTTCATACAAAGGTTTTTCGTGATTTTTCCACACATGCGGGTGGAATTTCCCGAAACCCCGTCTTAACGTGCACCTTCATCACATAATGTAACTACAGTTTCATCATCCCAGCTCTTAAGCCCCATTGAAAGCGGTTTAATTGTGGCCAAGTAATTGAAGTTGTACCTAATGTGAATAAGTCTTTTTGACCAAAAAACCTTAAGCTCATCTTTAACAACAATCATTTTGATGAAATGAACATAACGAATATAAAGAGATAAATAGGATAAATTCCAAAAACGACAAGACAAACTAATAAACAACACCAAAAACCAATCAAACCATCTAAATGGGCTTATGAGTATGTGACAGAGTCACGAAAGCTGGGAGCAGTAAAAAGATCATTTACCAAGGGTTATCGAATGTCATGTCCGATAGAAATTCGCCAGTGAGTTCCAGCCAAGAAACAATGCCAAATGAAATGTGGCTCAAATCAATTTGTGTGCGATTCGTTTGAATCAATCAAAAGCTGCAGAGTACTCGAGTTATGGCCGCGGAATGCATTGGCAAATACCCTATATGAAATTCCGCCCCATGACTATCCCATAAATGCCGCAACGGACGGCATCGAGTCGCGTTTTATGTGTCGACGTGATGTCGAACACATTTGACGATGCAGGCTGAAATAACAAAAAAAAAAAAAAAAAATAAACACAAAATAACACCAAAATAAAAGTAGAAAAGGAAAACAAGTAAGAGTGATCCAAGTCGAGTGTGCACGACTAGCAGATACCCTTTATATGATGCATACACGCACATGCACACGCACAGACAAGCTGGGAACTTTACGCAGACGCCTTCCCTTCTTCCCTTTGACCCACACTTGGACAAATGCGATCTTGAATAACTTCGGTGTTTATAGTCCGATCTGTCTAATATGACATCCAAATGTGTGTACATACCAAAGTCTGAGGCATTATTTCCATTTTAAAGGGAATGCATAAGTTATTGCAGCAGTTCAATATTCTGGATATTCTATATAAATTGGGTATTTCCAGATTGCTTAGCTAAACATCGATTCATATCGATTGAGTGAAAAGAAAGTGATTTATCGATAGTTATCTAACGATAAAAATTATAGCTGAAATAGAAATTGCGCGGGAAATAGCAAGAGCTACGTTCCAAATTTCAAGCATTTCCGATAGTTCTGATAAGTCTCTGAGATCTAGAAGCTCATACAGAAGCTACATGGTATTTAATCGACTCAGCATTGAATGCTGGACAAGAATATATATATACTATATAGTATAAATATATAATACTAGACATACTTCTTCTGCTGTACACATATTTGCACAAAGTCAGCATACCCGGCTTAAATGGAGCATAGGGTATTAAAAGCGAAGCCGGCAAAAGCAGCTGTCTTCAGATACGGCACCAAATTGAATAATGTCTGCTTAATTTCGGTCAATTATGCCGCCCGAATCCAAACCCAAACGAACCGAGCCAAAACGAACCCGAAGCAAAAGCGGGCCGAGGCGAGGCGGCGCGGTGCGATGCGGGGGCGGGGGCGGGGGGGCGCGGCAAGCCCCAAACGAATGACGGAGACATGTAATTTCGTTGGCAATTCGGCTGTGGGTAGGCGGCGG